GAATAAGGGAAGGAAGACTGCCGTAAAATGGGCTAAAGGCGTAAAAAGACGCAAATTCGCGGGTAACTTCCCCATCGCAAGTGATTCCATCATCCAAAGCGCTCAGTTGATACATCAGTGCCTACTGCATCAACTAGGCACTCCTATGACTTGGGAGGGAAAAAAACGCTTATCTAGAGGCAAGGTTTATTCTTCCCTACGGACAGTCACGCTGACTGTGACGCAGATTGCTGTGTCACACTCCACTCCATCAACACCCAGTCCACTTCATCCATCCATGGGTGACAGTATCACCCACACAAATTACACTAAACACTCCAACAACTGGTCTCACCCGTAAATACCACGCAAATACACACTACAACCTCTCGAACAATACCTTCCCCGAATCGGTTAGCTAGGACAAGAATAGCAACGCAAGCAATAAACGCACGCACGAAAGCCGGGTATTCTTTTCAAGGAAAAAAGGAAAACAAGAGACACAGTGTATTACGAAGACCACTAAATTCAGGTAATTGCATGAGTAGGTCCCGATGAGCAAGAAATTAAACCAGCCACCATCTAATATATGCCAGTGCTGAGTGAAATCACTTTAACAACCAACATAGATAGCGGGAGAATTACATTGAAAACATATAACATAGTGTAATGCTAATAATATACATGCATATACGTACATACATATACATACATAATTATACACTTCGATTTTGGTGAGTTTCTCCATACATGTATCCGCACTCTTCATTCATCGGCATTCACGCCTGATCCTTTCTGTCTGCAATGTCACAAACGCAAGATTCACCACGCCGCACTTTGTACGATTCCAACAGTTTCAGCAAACATTCATTGGCGAACACTGACTACCAATATGTACTTCTCCATCGCCACAGCCTCGACGATATACACATCCTTCGCACACTCACAGAGAAAAGAGTGACTACACCACATTGCACACTTGGTTCCGCTTTCCGAGGTACAATTTCAGCTTCGTCTCCACACATCCAGCAGCTGCGCCAACAATCTCCCACAGGAAAAACATCGCGGTACCCGTGAAAACAGTGAGATATGGAAAAACGATCTGAATAATGACAAACAAATTAGTAGATTAACCTAGGACACACGTCGACGTCTCGTTTGTTAAAAAATACTTACCATCTCGGCTTGGGTTTGTTAAAATCACGATTGCTAAAGTTGTAGGAAACGTAATTCACTTCGTTGACAGAAAAGAAAGCACCCAAGTGCGCTCGCCCTAGGCGATGCAGCTTTATTTGATACATTCTATAAAAAATGATACTATAACAATTGCAATAAAGTCAATGTTACCATGTAATTGTGAAAAGATATTGGGAAGAAAGGCAATAGGGCCGCCTCTGCTAAAACACGCAAACCAAGACAATTAGGACTCACAAAACAATACACTAACACACTAAATGAAGCAAATTGTTACCTGACAGAGGTACGGAGTGATATCAAAGCTTAATTCCCAGCTTATTGTCCTTCAAACATCTCTCGAAGTACACCAGACGAAACATCAGAAGCAGATATATTCCCGTCCACTTTAGTCTTCAAATGGCGGCTAAATAGAGTAAAGACGAAATTTTAACAGATTTTTGCTTCAAATCTACATTTTACCTCTGTCTAACTAAAACTGTCATACTAGTACGATGAACAAAAACTCACAGCACAGACGGACAATGTACAAAAACAACAACCAATAAGCTTAAGGCCAACAATATAAACAAACGAAAAAGTATGTCACAAAAATGGAAGAAAAAAAGGAATATACATCAAGTAAAATTAGGTCACAAAGATAAAAAAATTAAAATAAATAAGAGGATGGTAGGGAAGAGGCAATCAGGAAATTCGAACCTCGTCACCGGATAGTCCTCTCCCTTACCTAGTGACTGCGGCTCTCCTCCTTCTTGAATATTGTATTTTCCCCATCCATCTTGTCACCTTTAATAAAGATGTCTAAAGCAAATCGACCAAGCTTGTCTAGGGACGCTAGAAATAGGGAAGCGGAGACAGAGGAGTCTCGCTCCACAAATCCGCAAACGTAATAAAATAAAAAAGGCATATAAAAAAGCTATTTTAAATAAATGAAAAGGCTTAATATTACTACTGTCTAGTTATAAAAAGTAAGAAAAAAGGATTATTTCTATAAAGCAAATTAAAACGCTATTAAACAAAACAACATAAACTTCTAGGGATGAAGGAGGCACAGCGAAGGCAGCACCTCCAAATGGATCTTAAAAAGGAAAAGAAGAGAGTAGAGGATACAAATAAACGTGTACGCATACCTGAAGAAGGTCCACGCAATTCTACAACAGTTTACAAAAACAAAGGCTCTAAGCAGAAAATGACGCAAATTAGACGCTAGAAAACGACATATAGCGGCTACGGGACAGAGGTAAGGCCAAGGAAAGGTTACGGTTTTTGCAATAAAGGATCTCCCTGGTCGGGTTCCAGGCCAGTTCAAGGTCAGATGACGTCCCAGTGGGAGCGAGTGGGAGGAAAGTAGGCCAGGGAAGGGTCAGGTGACGTGGCAACGCGTACGACAATGGTGGGGTTTTTGTAGCGCTACCCCATCCAGGCGATCACAGGCGCGTCCCCCTAAAATAGGGGTGGCTTCGCTTCCCCCTGCCACCAATGCAGGGCTACGAGGCTACTCTGTAGACGAAAGAAGACATTATGCTCGGGCGGCACATGTATTGATGTATACATGGATGGATGAATGGGTGGGTGGGTGTAGAAGCACAGCACTGTCAGTACTATCCGTTAAGAGAGCTGACTACAGATAGGCAGACGGACGAACGGGGGAAGGACACCAGACGTCAATCACCAAGTACCTGTGCATTGGGGTGGGGCACAGATAGAAGCGATGTGAAGCGGGGAGGGAAGAAGAGGATGTGCAGTTCCATGGGTCCACACGCTGTCCGCGCCAAACACCTCAGCATCATCCATCATATGCCGCCTGCAGGACGAAGAGGAAGAAGCCACGACTCTCCTTCGATTCGCCTCATTAGCCAACATCACCCACTAATTAACTTCAACCGTGTTGTGCCAAAGTCGCGTACAACATCAACCTTCTGCAAGTCATTGGAAAAACAAACAAATCATGGAAAGACCTACGGATATGCTGTAAACGCGCGTCGCCACGTAAAATCACTCACATTGGGTATGTTACAACACAAGAGACACGGCAACTGATGGATTGCAAACCACTCTCACCTGAGTAATGTGCGAAGCAATTCCAAATGCGAGATGCGAATTTACTTTTCCTTCATAATACCTCCATGCTTGTCCGACAATGCTCCACTTGAAACGCACATTCTTGTTCAAGTAAGGGTCCAAAACGTCATTGTCCCACGTAAAGCCAGAAAATTTATTATATTTTGCCCTTTTTGAACAAGTGATGCCTTTCCGGCCGGAATTCTAGCATCATTAAAGTCAACAGTAAATCCAATAGCAACAAAATATCAAATCGAGCATTCACGGAATCGTTCATCTTACCAACTGAATGCAATTTTCTTCTCGTCCCATTACCAAAACGATGAAACAGCAGAACATTTTTTATGCTTTATTGCATTTAGTAATGTAAAATCAGTGTCTAAACGCCTTCATGCATCCGCATTTAATTCACCCATATTCGTACTTATTCTTCTGTATACGTAGTTGTACAGAAGCAGATATGCTATATATATATATATATATATGTAATAC